TCAAACAGTTTTGAACAGACTCTTTCTATATTAGAGTTTTCTGCATCTGCCGAGGGTTGGCTGACTAACTGTTACTGGAACTGTGCTGCATCTGGGTGAACAGCTGTGCATTTCCCCTTTGCTCTATGCACATCCCATGACGTGGCCACTGCCATTGGCCAAAGCTTGGTAAGCACCCAGCAGAAATCCTTTATCACATAATAGCTGTAATGACCTCTGTATCCAAATCATATTTGTGCAAAAACACCCAGATCCCCAGTAAGAATGGCTGTTATTAAAAAGCCAAAAAATAACAGATGCTGGCAGGGTTGTGGAGAAAAAGGAATGCTTATACACTGTTGGTGGGCGTGTACATTAGTTCAGCCATTGTGGAAGACAGTGTCAGTTCCTGAAAAACCTAAAGACAGAAACACCATTCTACCCAGCAACGCCATGACTGGGTGTATACCCAAAGGAATACAAATCATTCTTTTATAGACACATGCAGCACTGTTCCTAGTAGCGAAAACATGGAATCAGCCTAAATGCCCATCGACAAGAGACTGGATAAAGAAAATGTGGTACATATACACCATGGAATACTATGCAGCCATAAAAAAGAATGAGATGTCCTTTGCAGGGGCATGGATGGAGCTGGAGGCCATTTTCCTCAGCAAACTAACACTGGGACAGAAACCAAATACCACATATTTTCACTTATAAATGGGAGCTAAATGATGAGAACATGTGGACACATAGAGGGGAACAGCACACAGTGGGGCCTTTCAGAAGGTGGAGGGAGAGGATCAGGAAAAATAACTAATGGATACTAGGCTTAATACCTGGGATGAAATAATCTGTACAACAAACCCCCAGACTCAAGTTTATCTATGTAACAAACCTGCACTTTCATCCCTGAACTAAAATAAAAGTTAAAAAAAAAAATACATCAAGATTCAATGTTGGGTTCATAGAGGCAATTAATGTGTAGCAATCCCAGCAGTTTCTTTTTTCTTGTCTTTTTTTTTTTTTTTTAAGACATGGTCTTGCTCTGTTACTCAGGCTGGAGTGCAGTGCAGTGGCATGATCACAGCTCATTGTGGCTTTGACCTCCTGGGCTCAGGTGATCATCCCACCTCAGCCTCCTGCATAGCTTGGGACTACAAGCATGTGCCACCACACCCAGATAATTTTTTGTGGAGATGACGTTTTGCCATATTAAGGTTTTGCCATGTTGCCCTGGTCTTGAATTCCTGTGGCTCAAGCAATCCACCTGCCTCAGCCTCCCAAAGTGCTGGGATTATAGGCGTGAACTGCCACAACTGGTCCCAGCAGTTACTTTCTATAAGAAGTAATGGAGGCCAGGCGCGGTGGCTCACACCTGTAATCCCAGCACTTTGGGAGGCTGAGGCAGGTGGATCATGAGGCCAGGAGTTTGAGACCAGCCTGGCCAACATGGTATAATTCCGTCTCTACTAAAAATAGAAAATTAGCCGGGTGAGGTGGCACATGCTTGTAATCCCAGCTACTTGGGAGACAGAGGCAGGAGAATCACTTGAACCTGGGAGGTGGAGGTTGCAGTGAGCCAAAATCACACTACTGTACTCCACCCTGGGCAACACAGTGAGACTCCATCTCAAAAAAAAAAAGAAGAAGAAGTAATGGAGGCCTGGTCCAGTGGTGGCTCATGCCTGTAATCCCAACTACTTGGGCAGCCTGAGGTGGGAGGATCACTTTGACCCAGGCCTTTGAGGCCAGTGTGAACAACATAATGGGACCCTGTCTCTAAAAAATAAAAATGAAATAAGGGAGCACTGCTTCACAATCCATGTTTAGAGGTGTCCAGGAAGCAACCTAGGAGTTCAGAGAAGCTGCCAGCCATTAAAAACTTATTCGTTTCCAAAAATCATTCTGTATATTGGAGGGACAAAGGCCAATCACCTACTGATTCACTTTGGACTTGGGAGTAGGTAGGTGACAGCAATAAGTTCCTGTTCACTTGAACTCCGCTCTATGACTGAGACCTGATTCAGCCTGTGGGTGCTTCCTGACACCCCATGAAACTTGGGCAAGTCTAGAGGACTCTGAACCTGATTGGTCCGTAAGACTGTAAAATTTGATATAAACATATATACAGTGTTTTTCTTTTTGAGACAGAGTATCATTCTGTTTTCCAGGCTGGAGGGCAGTGGCATGATCTTGGCTCACTGCAACCTCCACCTCCCAGGTTCAAGCGATTCTCATACCTTAGCCTCCCGAGTAACTGGGATTACAGCCACCCACCACCACCCCTGGCTAATTTTTTTGTATTTTTAGTAGAGACGGGGTTTCACCATGTTGGCCAGGCTGATCTTGAACTCCTGACCTCAGGTGATCCACCTGCCTTGGCCTCCCAAAGTGCTGAGATTAGATTACAGGTGTAAGCCACCACACCTGGCCAGATTTGATATTTTTATTAAGATCTTTTCTGATGCAGAATACAAAATTGAAAAATACAGAAAAGTAGAAAAACATACCAAGTCCTACCATTTAGTTACAATCACTGTTTATGTCTTGGTATATTTCATTTATTGATTGATTGATTTGATACAATATTACCTAAGGCCTCCAATGCAGGATGCTAGGCTCTGGGGGGTACTCAACACTTTGGAAAGTCTGCAGCATTTCCCTCCAGTCTTTTTCTAGATACTTCTGCACATGCAAAAATGTTTCAATCTTTTCTAAAATTATAGGAACAATCTAAAAGGTGTAAAATAAATCTCAAATCTATCAATAGTTTTGGACACTTCAGCTTTACTTGAACTAGGAATATGTTGCTCTCCTTGCTATTCTCACTATTAGTCATGAACTCAAAGTGGTTAAGATGAGAGATGAGTTAGGAATTAATTAGGGAAAATTATGTTCTAGGAGTGGAATATGGAGGACTGCTCCAGCTCCAGCTCCATCAGCTTTCTTTCTTTTTCTTTTCTTTTTTCTTTTTCTTTTTTCTCTTTTTTTTTTTTGAGATAGATTCTTGCTCTGTCACCCAGGCTGGAGTGCAGTGGCGTGATCTTGACTCACTACAAGCTCCACCTTCTGGGTTCGAGACCAGCCCAGCCAAGATTGCGTAACACCGACTCTACTAAAAACACAAAAAATTAGCTGGGTGTGGTGGTGCAAGCAGCCAAGACCAGGCTGGACCTTGTGATCTTCCCACCTCAGGCTCCCAAAGAGCTGGGATTACAGACATGAGTCACTGTGTCTGGCCAACTATACTTTGAATACTAAATGTAATCAATATTTTATATTTTGAAAATTAGCAGGTGAGAAATAGTATCTTCTTATTTTGATTTGTATAAATGTGAACACTGTTGTTTTAAGGCCTCTGAGCTCACATATTTGATGTTGCAAGCTAATTTCTTGGTTCCTGAGCCCACTTTTCTCTTTTTTCTACCTCTGTCCTTCCATTTATTATACATTGGTTTCTTCATTCTTTTGTTCTTTCCAGAAACATGTATTCATTCTCTACTATGTGTCAGCAGTGTTAGGCATTGGTAATACACAGATAATTATCTGTAAGACATTGTCCCTTGGATCAAGGAGATCATTATAACAGAGGACACAGACATATCAATCAAACTATTTCTTTTTTATTTTATTTATTTATTTATTTATTTATTTATTTATTTATTTATTTATTTATGTGGAGATGGAGTTTTACTCTTGTCGCCCAGGCTGGAGTGCAATGGCATGATTTCAGATCACTGCAACCTCCACCTCACAGGTTCAAGCAATTCTCCTGCCTCAGCCTCCTAAGTAGCTGGGATTATAGGCACCCGCCACCACCCCTGGCTAATTTTGTATTTTTAGTAGACACAGGGTTTTGCCATGTTGGGCAGGTTGGACTCAAACTCCCAACCTTAGGTGATCCACCCACCTTCGCCTCCCAAAGATGGGTGGATCACCTGAGGTTAGTGAGCCACCACGCCCAGCCATTATCAAACTATTTCTATTCCTTCTTCAGTGAATTGCCTGTTCCCATCTTTTGCCTATTTTCTATCTTATTGATATGAACACTAGAAGAAAGGTCCTATGTTGAGAAAATTATTCTTGTTAGGCCAAACTTAAAAGTTTTTAGACAGTCAAATTTATTGCCTTTTTGGCTTCTCAGTTTTATGTCTTGTTTAAAAAAACCTTTCTCACTTCAAAATTATTTCATGTCATAACTTGATAATTTCTTCTAGTATTTTCTCAGATCCTTTTTTACATTTAAGACTCTAGGTCAGTGCAGTGGTGCACACCTGTAATCTCAGCTATTTGGGACGGTAAGGTGGGAGGATAGCTTGAGCCCACAAGTTTGAGGCTATGGAGAGCTACAGTCATGAGCTTTGATCATGCTACTGCACTCTAGCCTGGGCAACAGAGGGAGGCCTTGTTTCTAAAAGAAAGAAACAGAGCGAGAGTGAGAGTAAGCGAGAGATTGAGAGAGAAAGAGATAGAGAGAAAGAAGGAAAGAGACAGAGAAAGAGAAAGGAAGGAAGGAAAGAGAGTGAGAAAAGAGAAAAAGAGAAAAAGAAAGAGAAAGAAGAAAAAGGAAGGAAGGAAGAGAGAGAGAAAGGGAAGAAGGGAAGATTCTTGTCTATCTGGAAATTATTTTAGAGTAAAAATTAGCTCTCATATTTTTATCTTTTTCAAAAATTTTTTATTTTCCAACCTTGACTCTTCAATCAGTGATCCAGCTTCTGAGGAGTTCCAGAACAATCCAGATTTCCCAGGTCCTTGGGAACATGACTGAACCTGGCTTATTGACATGTTGCTGGTTGTGACTTCAAACCCCTAAGCCTCTCCTGCTCTCTGAGCTTTTGGTCCAGAGCCCAAGAGGAGCCTGGGCACCATTCTCACTGAAGCACATGGGCTCCAGGTGGCCCCCAGAGACCTGGATCCTCATTTGACTCAGAGTCTCAGGCTGTAGCGCTTCCTCTGTAACTGCAGCCCTGGCTCCCCACCCCCACCACCACCCCCAACCCCCGCCTTCCCTCCTATCCCATCTGCACACTGCCCCGACAGCTCTTCCCTGCAGAAATTTGCATCATGGGCTTGCAGGGAAGGCTTCACTGAGCCATGGTCTGTTCAGCTGCCCCGCTGCTGCTCCTGGCTCTTCCCCTGGTGGGGTCACCAGTTGTCCAAGCATCCCAACCCGTAAGTGAGACTGGGGTGAGACCCAGGAAGGGTCTGCGGAGGCGACAATGGGGACCTCTGGTTGGGAGAGACAAGGCATGGAATGAAAGGACAGGTAGCAGGAAAGGGCAGAGGCGACAGGAGGTAGTGTGTAAGGAAAGTGTCTGCTTTGTTATGCGATCTCTGAGAACTCAGTCTTGTTCTCCTGGGTGTGGGGGATAGCTTCTGTTTCCTTATTTGAGTCCCTGTAAACTTCTATGACACCTGCTGCACTTGGGATAAAGGCTTGTCCAGTCAAGTTGGCCATTTGAAAAGAAAAAGAAAAAGAAAAGCTTTGTAGATTTCGGAACTATTGGCTTAGAGGATGGGAGAGAATCTGAGGAAAGGCATCAGAGTCTAGAGGGTGCTTTTCCATCTGTGTTCTCCCCAGCAGATAGCTGTCTCCATGCCTGTGTCTATATCTGTATGTCTCTAAGCCTAAATCTATCTACACTACTAAATCTCTGTCTTCGTGTAAATGTATATCTGTATCTGTACCTAAATCTGTCTATATCTATACCTTGTTTTAGACATGCTCTCACCATGTTGCCCAGGCTGGACTTGAACTCCTGGGCTCAAGTGATCCTCCCACCTGAACCTCCCAAGTAGCCAGGACTAAAGGCCTCTGTGACCAGATTATATTCATATCTTAACCATATTCTTATCTATATCGCTATCTGGTATTGGCTAGATAGCCACACGCACAGGCAGGTGCATATGGACAGGGCTCAGGTCTGTGGCGCTGGGAGCCCCTCCAGATTTCCTGGAGGAAGGACTGCCTGGTTCTCTCTCCTTGGCCCAGCTCCTTCCTCACCATCCTACCAGACAGACCCTTCCCTACCTGCCCCATCCCCTTATCTTCTAGCTTTGGCAAATGGCCCAAGAGACAGACAGTGTGGGCCCAGACCTCCACCCTCACCCTGACAGAGGAAGAATTGGTGAGGAAATAATATACAGGAACCAAAGACTAAGGAAAGAGGCTGCTCACCCTGCTGTCAAATCCTACAGAAGGAATAAGCTCCCCAAGTGCCTGGACCCCAGCCAGCTCTGTCCAGCCCACTGCTGGAGCTCCAGAGCCAGCTATTTCAATTAGCCCAGAGGCCCAGGGACAGGTAAACTCAGGGAGGAATTAAACAAAGCATGTTGACTTCCCAGGGTGTGCCTGGTTCCTGGTCTTGTGTGGGATCTGTGGGCTCTAACAGGGCTCCTGGGGTTGCATCTCTGGCAACCCCTAGAGGAAGCAGGCTGTTGAGACTGAGTCATGCTGGCTGAGACTAGCCAGGCTGGCCCCTGAGGTGTCTTTGGAAGAAACTTGAGGTCTTTCCTCTGTGTTCTGTTCCAGGGACAGAGTCAGGCTGGAGGCAAATCTGGATCTGGGCCGCTCCTGGACCAAGAGAGTGAAGCAGAGGGTGAGTGGATGGACAGGAGGAGGAGGGAATGAGGTGGGAACACAGGATCCTTAGAGGAGAGGGCGGACGCAGCGAGGGAGTGGTAGCGGAGAGAGAGGACTGGCTCTGATCGCAGACAGGTCAGTGACCAGTTCTCTAGCAGTGAGGCCTGGAGATGAACTCCTTTGTCTTTGGAGCCTCATCCATAAAATAGACGTTGCTGGGCGGAGGGCATGAAGCCGTGTATCTGAAGGCACTGTGCCTAAGGGAGTAGTTCCCTTCCTGAGCCCTGTCTTTATGCACCTGAACAGGCTGTGGGAGGGGTTCTGTCCTGCATTCCTGGGACAAGCCAGTGAGGTAAGAGAATCCAGAGGGCTTGTGGCCTCACTGCCTGTCCTCGCCAGCTGTCCCCTCTGCTCCTGTAGAATCAGTGCTGGTCTCCGTCTATGTACATCTGGACTTTTCAGATAAGACCTGGCCCCCTGCGGTCTCCAGGACCCTGGATCTCCCTGCTGCCTCAGCTTCCTCTGCTCCAAGGCCTCTTCTCACTGGCCTCAGACTCACAACAGGTACCGCTTCTGTGGGAAGGGGTCTGAGAGTGAATGAACATGGGCTCCTGGGCCTCCTGCAGCCAGCTTGCCTGAGATGCTGGGAGCCCCTCTGTGTTTCCTGGAGGAAGAACTGCCTGGTTCTCTCTCTATGGCCCAGCTCCTTCCTCACCTCCCTACCAGACAGACCCTTCCCTGCCTGCCCCATCCCCCTATCTTCTAGCTTTGGCTGATGGCCCAAGGAACAGGCAATAGGGCCCAGACCTCCACCTTCAGCCTATTCTCTTGCCTCATGTGACCTCTGCTGCTTCAAGTCCTGACTAAGGGGGTAGTCCCGATGTGTGGGCCTGACTGAGGCACGTGGAGTTTGGGGATTGGGCCAGATACCCAGCCCTAAAGCCTCTCAGGCATCGGGCAGGTGTTGGCCCTACCTGCCTAGCTGCGTCAGACAGTCTGCCCACTCCCTCTTCCCTTCTCTCTGTCACAGAGTGTCATGTCAACCATGAGGGGTATTTCTATTGTGCTTGCCTCTCTGGGTACCAGTGGAACACCAGCATCTGCCTCCATCACCCTCCCTGTCAAAGCCCCCACAACCACCAGCCCTGTGGCTGCCTTATCTTCAGCCATCCCGAACCTGGGTACTGCCAGCTGCTGCCACCTGGTGAGGAAGGTTGGGAACTTGGAAACCAGTGGCCTTAAGTGAAATAAATGCTCTCAGTGGTTTCTTCCTCTCTGAACCTGTAGTTTGGCCAGCAGGCCCAAGCCCTTCTGGGTAGGAGAAAAAGCCAGCCATCATAGCAGATCACAGGCCCTGAGCTTGGAACCTGTGTAGGGAGACTAATGATGGGGTGGCGGGGGGTGGGGGTGGGCGTCCAGAGACATAAGGACAAGGAGAGAAAGTGCTAGAGTAACCCTGCCTTTTTTTTTTTTTTTTTTTTGAGACAGAATCTCGTACTTGCTGCCCAGCTGGAATGCAATGGCATGATCTTGGCTCACTGTAACCTCCACCTCCCGGGTTCAAGCAATTCTCCTGCCTCAGCCTCCTGAATAGCTGGGATTACAGGCACCTGCCACCATGCCTGGCTAATTTTTGTATTTTTAGTAGAGACGAAGTTTCACCATGTTGGCCACGCTAGTCTCAAATTGCTGACCTCGGGTGATCCACCCACCTCAGCTTCCCAAAGTGCTGGGATTGCAGACGTGAGCCACCACTCCCAGCCATGACCCTGCTTTTTACCTAAGGAGGCAGGAAGCAGCTCCAGCAGCCCCAAGATACCTGGGGGAGGGAGAGACATAGACCAGAAAGGTTCTTGCTTTGCTTTCCAATAACAGATAGAGTCTTTCAGGCTGGATTGCAGCAGGCCACATTCAGATGCCCAACCAGGGACAAAAATAAAAAATAAAAAAAGCTAGAGAGGGAGTATGGAGGAATGGGTTCCAGAGTCAGGGGAGGAGCAATTGCTCAGCTGCATCTGAGGGCCAGGAGTCCCTCCTCCAGGGGTCCCCTGTCACTTGCCTCCCTGCAGTCCCCGGGATCCTGAGCCTGAACTCCCAGCTGCAGATGCCTGGCGACACGCTGAGTCTGACTCTCCTTCTGAGCCAGGAGGCCACTGACCTGAGCTGGTTCCTGAGGCACCCAAGGAGCCCCAGCCCTATCCTTCTGCAGCCAGGGACACAGGTTTCTGTGACTTCCAGCCAGGGCCAGGCTGCCCTCAGCATCACAAACATGTCCAGTCACTGGGCAGGTAGCCAGCCTGGCTTCCTCTCCTTGCCTCCCTTTTCTTTCCTCTTGTTCCCCTTCTTCCTCCTCCTCTTCCTCCCATGTCTCCTTCCCTTCCCTTTCCTTCTTTTCTTTCTGCCTCTTCCTTAGCCTTTTCATCTTTCCATTTACCATTCTGGGGAAACAAAGGCTAAGAGATCCCTTGGTGTAAAAAACTGCAATGTGTCAAATTCTAAAAGTGGCCAACTTTTTCACTGTGATCTGGGACTTCTGAGACCCTTTTCAGGGTTCACAAAGTCACAACTACTGTCCTAATATCCTAAGATGTCATCTGCCCCTTTCACTGCCACTCCCTCGAGGGTAAACACGGCCCTTTCCAGAGGCTACATGGCTATCGTGAGATTGAATGCAAAAACAGATGGGAGAACCCAGACATGGGTCAGATTTGCAAACATGTAAAACAAAGTCACTTGCCTAATTATGTTTTGGAAAATGTCGTTATTTTTCATAAAAATGTCTCTGTTAACAAATACTAGAATGTGGAGAATATGGTCTCCATTTCTGCTGAGAACAGATCCATGTTTTTCAAGATGCTAAAATGGCAGGGGTGGTGCAGGAAGGCATCTGCTCTGGGGAGAGGGGTTCATTTTGGAATTCATGGGCTTGTGCTGATAACAAAAGAGATCTTGGCCAGGTGCGATGGCTCACACCTGTAATCCCAGCACTTTGGGAGGCTGAGGCGGGCAGATCATGAGGTTAAGAGATCGAGACCATCCTGGCCAACATGGTGAAACCCTGTCTCTGCTAAAAAAAAAAAAAATACAAAAATTAGCTGGGCATGGTGGCATGTGCCTGTAGTCCCAGATACTCGGGAGGCTGAGGCAGGAGAATTGCTTGAACCCAGAAGGTGGAGGTTGCAGCGAGCTGAGATCACGCCACTGCACTCCAGCCTGGCACCTGGCAACAGAGCAAAACTCTGTCTCAAAAAATAAATATATACAAAATAAAAAGATCTCTTTTAGAAATCTCTTCTACTTCCTAGAAATCCTTCTTGGGGACAGGGAATGTCCACTAAAGGGGCCACCCCGGGATCTTTCTTGCTGGTTTTAAGCACTGGGTGGCAGGCAGAGGACAGGAGCGAGGCTGTGGTATGGAAAGCGGCAGAGACTCTGTGGTGCAGGGGGGCCTGGAGGAAACCCAGTGTGCAGCCGACGCGTGTCTGCAGGTGAGTACATGAGCTGCTTCGAGGCCCAGGGCTTCAGGTGGAGCCTGCACAAGGTGGTGAAGGTGACTTTGAAGGCGACAGATGTGGCTCGACTTCCAGTCCGGCTGTCCATCTCCTGTGCCACCTCCCCTGGCTTCCAGCTGAGCTGCTGCATCCCCAGCACAAACCTGGTCTACACTGTGGCCTGGAGCCCCGGAGAGGGCAGCAGAGGTATGAGAAGGGGACAGCAGTCAGGGGTCAGAGGGACCAGGGGGCAGCTAGTCTCCTCCAGGAAGCTGGGTCTTCAGCTCATGAGAAACAGGCCACAGTTCAACCAGAGAATGGGGCCCCAGGCCATTTCCAACCACATCAGAGCCATCCCACGTCTATTGCCATCACATAATCACACGCGCAGAGAAAACTTTCTGCAAAATGCTGTCATCTACACAGCCTCATTTAACTCTCTATGGAATTAGTTTGATGATAGTCCCCATTTTACAAATGAGGAAATGGTAGAAACTGAGTCCTAGAGCTTGTTAGAGACCCCCTACCCCTCCAGCAAAATCCAAGCTCTCTCCCACTGTCCAAGTGGAGCTGACACAGCATTTAGCTCTTCCCCACTGCTTCCCTGTTTCTGAATTGCTAAAAAGACCGAAACAGCGTGTGGGAGCCTGCCGGGTTCCAGGCCTGTCCCTGGCCCAGGGACAGTTCCCTTCTCTCGTTTTGCCCTCAGCCTTCTCCTTCAATGAGTCGGGCTCTGAGTGCTTTGTGCTGGCTGTTCAGCGCTGCCCGGCAGCCGACACCACGTATACTTGTGACCTGCAGAGTCCAGGCCTGGCTCCACTCAGGGTCCCCATCTACATCACCATCATCCAGGGTGCGTAGGGCTTGGGGTCCAGTGGGCCGGCCCCAGCTGCTTGCCTTGGCAGCAGGGCTCTCTTGCATGGTGCATCCCTGCCCTGGGCAACAGAACTGGGCTCCGGGGCCTGCACAGACTCCTGCCCAAGGAGAGGCTTGGGTGAGGCTGTGAACGCTGAGTACCCCCTACTCGTCATTCTTCAGATGGAGACATCACCTGCCCTGAGGACTTCTCGGTGCTTACCTGGAATGTCACCAAAGCTGGCCACGTGGCACAGGCACCATGTCCTGAGAGCAAGAGGGGCACAGTGAGGCGGCTCTGCAGGGCTGATGGAGTCTGGGGGCCCATTAACAGCAGCTGCACAGATACGAGGCTCCTGGCCCTGTTCGCTAGAGCCAAGGTGAAGCTTCTGTCCTGCTGCCCACATGCTCCCTCCATGGCCCACCTCAGCCTCTCTAGGACCCAGCTTGCAGACCCTTTCCCCCTGAGGCCCAGCCCACAGGCTATTCAGCTTTTCTGAGCTGGAGCCAAGCAGTCAGGAAGTAGGTGTGGGAGGGCCCGAGGGGGCCAGCAATCTCCATGGGGCTGGGATGCCCTTCTCAAACCATAATTCCACCATGTGTCCTGCTTCCTGCTGTCTCGTCTGTCTCAGCTGCTGCAGGCAGGCCAGGGCAGGCCTGCTGAGGAGGTGCCACAGATCTTGGCACAGCTGCCAGGGCAAGCGGCAGAGGCAAGTTCACCCTCTGACTTACTGATCCTGTTGAGCACCATGAAATACCTAGCCAACGTGGTGGCAAAGGCCAGAATACAGCTTGACCGCAGTGTCCTGAAGGTGAGATCTCTGAGCCATAGTGGGGGCTAGCTGGGCAGTGGAGTGGGGGGTGGAGGATCCTCACCTGTGGGCACTTCTGACCCTCTGACATCACCATGGGCTGTCGGGCAGCAGAGCTCTCCAAAGTCCAGGGGTCTGCTCCTGGTCCATTTCTCCTCTTGGACAGCAGTTTCCAAGGCTGCGGATTGGAGAAGGCCTGGCGCTGGGAGCACATGGGGGCTGGAAGGCAGGAAAGAGTGTGGAGACATGAGGCCTGAGGCATGTGTATGCATGCAGATGTGTGGCTATGACACAGACAGGAGGTTTCCATGGAGATGCTGAAGTGTGCTTGGTGTGGCTGGGCTCACCTAAAACGGCTCTCAGTATGAGCATCCGTTGGTGACCCACAAGCTGCAGCCAAAAGTGTAACAAAGAGCAATGATATGTCACACTGTTCACACTTGGGAATACACAGCATCTGTGAATGCACAGAAATGTTTGTGGGCCTCACCTCCAGGACACATGCCCTCTACCACAGTCACCATTCCTAGCTTTGCAGACTTGGAGGGGCCAAAGAATAGGAGAAGTCCCCTCTTAGAACCTGGGTGGCCCCAAGGGATGGAGGGGGAAGAAGGGTTTTCAGCAGAGGGGCTGGGTGCAGTCAGGGGACAGATTCTTAAAGATGCCCCCAGGTGTTTGGCCCAACAGATCCCCATTCTTCCCATCAGGAAAGTCTCCCTGGACAGACCTGTCTTTCTCTCCCTTTTCTGTCCAACCTCAGGTGATACTCTGGACTGGGGAGGGAAGCTTTGGGGTCTGTAGTTCTCATTGCCCCGGCTCAGTGCTATGGGCGCCAGCAGACGGGGCTCATCTTTCTGTTGGGCGCCGCAGAATCTCCTGATTACCACAGACAAGGTCCTAGATATGGATACCGGTTCTCTGTGGACCCTGGCCCAAGCCCGGAAGCCCTGGGCAGGCTCAACTCTCCTGCTGGCGGTGGAGACCCTGGTGTGCAGCCTGCGTCCGCAGGACCAGCCCTTCGCCTTCAGCTTGCCCAATGTGCTGCTGCAGAGCCAGCTGTTCGGACCCACATTTCCTGCTGACTACAGCATCTCCTTCTCTACTCAGCCCCCGCTACAGGCACAGATTCCCGGGCACTCCCTGGCCCCACTGGTCCGTAACGGAACGGAAATAAGTATTACTAGCCTGGTGCTGCGAAAGCTGGACCACCTTCTGCCCTCAAACTATGGACAAGGGCTGGGGGATTCCCTCTATGCCACTCCCGGCCTGGTCCTTGTCATTTCCATCATGGCAGGTGACAGGGCCTTCAGCCAGGGAGAGGTCATCATGAACTTTGGGAACACAGATGGTTCCCCTCACTGTGTCTTCTGGGATCACAGTCTCTTCCAGGGCAAGGGGGGTTGGTCCAAAGAAGGATGCCAGGCACAGGCGGCCAGTGCCAGCCCCACTGCTCGGTGCCTCTGCCAGCACTTCACTGCCTTCTCCGTCCTCATGTCCCCCCATGCTGCTCCGGAAGAACCTGCCCTGGCGCTGTTGACTCAGGTGGGCTTGGGGGCTTCCATCCTGGCGCTGCTCATGTGCCTGGGTGTGTACCGGCTGGTGTGGAGAGTCGTGGTGCGGAACAAAGTCGCCTATTTCCGCCACGCTGCCCTGCTCAACATGGTGCTCTGCTTGCTGGCTGCCGACACCTGCTTCCTGGGCGCCCCCCTGCTGCCTCCTGGGCCCCGCAGCCCACTCTGCCTTGCTGCCGCCTTCCTCTGTCATTTCCTCTACCTGGCCACCTTTTTCTGGATGCTGGCACAGGCCCTGGTGTTGGCCCACCAGCTGCTCTTTGTCTTCCACCAGCTGCCCAAGCACCGAGTTCTCCCGCTGATGGTGCTCCTGGGCTACCTGTGCCCACTGGGGTTTGCGGGTGTCACCCTGGGGCTCTACCTCCCTCAAGGGCAGTACCTGAGGGAGGGGGAATGCTGGCTGGATGGGAAGGGAGGAGCGTTCTACACCTTCGTGGGGCCAGTGCTGGCCATCGTAGGCGTGAATGGACTGGTACTAGCCATGGCCTTGCTGAAGTTGCTGAGACCTTCGCTGTCAGAGGGACCCCCAGCGGAGAAGCGCCAAGCCCTGCTGGGGGTGATCAAAGCCCTGCTCATTCTCACACCCATCTTTGGCCTTACTTGGGGGCTGGGCCTGGCCACTCTGTTAGAGGAAGTCTCCACGATCCCTCATTACATCTTCACCATTCTCAACACTTTCCAGGTAGGTGACAGGGGGGTGGCTGTGCTTTTTGCCTTTTTAGATGGTCTAAGTCATGGCCGATCCCTTCTCTAGGAGGTACCCAGGTGGAGCAGAAGAAACATAGGTTCAGGAATTTTAGAAGGCTTAGGTGTGGATCCCACTTCCTCCGAGCACTGGCTGGATAACTTTGGACAAATTACATAACCTTTCTGAGCTGTGGTTTTCTTACCTGTAAAAAATGTTGGAGAAATCAGGAAATTGTCAGTACCCGATCCTTTGGTGTCCCTTTTCTAATCGCAACAATAAGAAAAGCACCTGAAATGGTGGTAACAGGAAAATTGAGACGGGAAGCCTTAGGATGTGAATTACACAGGAGGACAGAAGGAGCACGCTGATTCGGGTGGATCCCTTCCTCCTTGACCAGCTTACCCCCATGTTCCTCTTCTCAGGGTGTCTTCATCCTATTGTTTGGTTGCCTCATGGACAGGAAGGTGAGTCTGCCCACCTAACCCCCTGCCTCACTTGCAGCCCACAGGTTGGGGCTGTGGCTGGCATAAGCACAGCATTTACGCCTCCCACAGGTACAAGAAGCTTTGCGCAAACGCTTCTGCCACGCCCAAGCCCCCAACACCACCATCTCCCTGGTGAGTTCCTGGCTTCAGATCCTCAGCTCTCCTCTGAGAGCATGTCAGAAGGTGTTCCATGGCCTTCCCCAGAAGACATGGGCACAGCCAGAAGCTGAGAGAAGACTGGGGTTGGTTTTTAGAATGAGCAGGTTTCAGGTTCCAGCTTCCCACCGGTGGAGCAAGCAGCCCGGTCAGAGCCGTCAGAATAGGGTTCCTGGGTTCCTGATTATCATCGGGACTCCTGCTGACTCTCTTGCCTCTGGTTTTTCCATCTGAAAATCTGCCTCCAGTTAGCATTTGAAGGAAAAATGTGGGATCAGTACTCACAGGAGTTATTGTAGCTGAGAGCGCAATTTCTAGGATTCCTGTAGCCCAGGCAGGAGTGCATTTGAGAAAGTAAAAACAGATACAACCTCTTCAAGGGAGAGTTGACCAGAATAATTGCCCTGCAATTGGGCCTTTCCACCCCTTCCTAGGCCACAAATGAAAGCTATATCTTGGAACACAGTAAAGGCGGAAGTGACACTGCCAGGTGAGAACTCAGCTTTCTCAGGGCAGCCTAAGCAGGGTGGATTGAGGATGGTGTGGCAAAGGGCCTCCTGGCAAAGTTCTGGACAGAAGCCTTCTCTTTCCGTACCCAGCCCACACCAAAGGGTAGGAAACAGGTTTTCAGGGTAGCCAGTGCTGGATGGGTGGGGACGGTGGAAATGTTGGAGAGCAGAAGGCATAGCACCTTCTCCTGCTTCCCAAGAAAGCTAAGGGACTTTCACCACCACCAGTCCTTGACTCACTTTCCTGAAAATTCCTTTTCACGTGATAACACTTTTAATTATCATGAGAATCTTGCCTCAAAGGGATTGCCATGGGTGGGCTTGGTATCCAGAGGGGAGGGCAGCCTGCAGAAGCTGGGCTCAGTATCCATTCACCAGCCCCGAGCTCTTTCACAGGAAGTCAGATGCTTCAGCGTGAACCACACACAGAGCCATGTTCCTGCAAAGGAGTTGATGCTGTGTACTCTTCCCTCCTCCCAGAGCTCAGCCCTTGAAAAAGGCAGGCTTATATTTCCCTTAGTCACACTTATTTATCTTACAGCTCACCCTTTCTCATTTCTAAGTATCCAGCAAGAATAGCAGAAAAAACTAGCTAAAGGCTAACTAGCTAAGCCTGCCTTTGCACCAGAAATTCTCAACAGATATTAAAGTGCAGAATAATTACGAGGAAACTTTCTCAACCAGTTTTAAACTACAACAGTACATGTTTTGAATAGATTGGATGAAATTGGTTTTAATTGACCTATTCAGTGATTTCTGATTATTTCTTTTTCAATAGTTATGAAGAAAGGACGACTAATTGACAGGAACTTCTGATCTTCCAAACACTGGAGACGAAGGGCAGAATTTGATTTGTCTCTTTTCCAGTTTAGGAAAAGATGAAGCTAATTGGTCCCTCTTTCTTTAACCTTTAAAAAAATCAGTATAAAGTGTAAGTTTAATAACCATATCCATGTATAGAAACAGGCATTCATATGAGCACATTGTAAGAATGGGTTATAAAAATTTAAAGTTTAATATGAATTTATGTCAATTAATGAAGTTTAATTGATATTTGAAAATGAATACTAGATATAAAGAAGATAGATTTAGAAAAAATATTTTTGAAGACACCAAGATAGCTATCTGGCTTATGGAATTCACAAGAGGAAGATGACGGGATTCTGAGAAATTTTTAAACTAGATAAATGAAAAAGTCTAATGAATCGGTCTTTGTTAACTATGCAATTCATGGATTTTTTTAAATAAAATGGGATGGGGCATTTTCTGTTAAAATAAAAAATGGATATGCTATCATATGCCATTGAAAATACCTTTCTTATAAACACAATGCCTTCACTTAATGATTAGTGTGAATATTTTAATTGTGTATAAATTGGCCCAAATGTTTCTATAAGTGGATTCATTATACTTTTGGAGAGAAGCCAGCAACTCAGCAGGCCCATCATGGTGTTTCCATTCTTTTATTTTCTTTTTTTTTGAGACAGAGTCTTGCTCTGTTGCCAGGCTGGAGTATAGTGGTGCAATCTTGGCTCACTGCAACCTCCACCTCCCAGGTTCAAGTGATTCTCCTGCCTCAGCCTCCCGAGTAGCTGGGACTACAGGTGCATGCCACCACCCCCAGCTAATTTTTGTATTTTTAGCAGAGATGGGGTATCACCATGTTGGCCAGGATGGTCTCGATCTTTGACCTCATGATCTGCCTGCCTCAACCTCCCAAAGTGCTGAGATTACAGGCATGAGCCACCGCGCCCGGCCCATTGTGGTGTTTCTAATAGGCCTCACACTCGCTCCAGCCCTGTAGGAGGCAGGTGGTGACTAAGACAGGGCAGGCTCTGCCTCACAGCACAGGCATGTCTCATTTCCACTTCATTTCACTTTCACTTTATTGACAGTTACAGTTTTCATTTTATAAATTACAAAAATTTATTTCAGTTACAAATTCAAATAATATGCTCTCACTTTAGAAACATCAGGGGTCCCCTTTCTGAGTGCACTTCTGTGGATATATGTGCTCTAATTTTCCTTTGCAATTATTTGCCCATACTCAATGCATGCTTTCCTGGTAAAAACACTCAGAATTAGGCTGGGCATGGTGGCTCAGGGCTGTAATTCCAGCTCTTTGGAAGGCCCAGGTGGGCAGAACACATGAGGTCAGGAGTTCAAGACCGGCCTGGCCAACATAGTGAAACCCTGTCTCCACTAAAAATACAAAAATTCACCAGGCATGGTGGCACATGTCTGTAGTCCCAGCTACTTGGGAGGCTGAAGCAGGAGAATTGCTTGAACCAGGGAGGCAGCAGTCACAGTGAGCCAAGATCACACCACTGCACTCCAACCTGGGCAACAGAGCGAGAGTCCATCTCAGAAAAAGAAAAAGAAAAAAGCCACACACAGAATTGACAGATGGAATGACATTAGGCCCTTGTTTACTTGATTCTCACCAAAAAAAAAAAAAAAAAAAAATGACAGGACTGTAAAAGGCTTTGGACACAAAGGTAAGAAAACTGACACTTGGCAGCAATTCAATCTCTAAAAAGATAGCTTTAAAAAAAAGTGGACCAGGCACTGTGACTCATGCTTGTAACTTTGGGAGTCTGAGATGGAAGGATCACTTGAGCCCAGGAGTTCAAGACCAGCCTGAGCAACACAGCGAGATCCTATCTCTACAAAATAAAAATAAAAATAAAAAAGCCAGGTATGGTGGCACATGCCTGTGTTCCAGCTACTCAGGAGGATGAGGTGGGAGGACTGCCTTATCCAGGGAGACTGAGGCTGCAGTGAGCTGTGATCACACTACTGCATTCCAGCCTAGGGAAGAGTGATGCCTTGTCTCCAGAAAGAAAAGAGAAAGAAGAAAGGAAGGAAGGAGGGAAGGAGTGGACAAGTGAATAGATCATACGCACAAATGATGTGCATTCCAGTGTGTTTATGCCATAGAAAGGAACACCAAGTGGTCATTAAAAATGATGATGTATAGCTACACCTACTGACAGGGAAACATATTTAGACTGTATAGCTAAGTAAAACAACAGCATTCCAGAATAACATTATACTATCAATTTTGGTCCATATGTAACCAAACGCAGGTGCAGATGCTTGCCCATGGCAGCGTCCAATTAACAAGAGCGAGTTCTGGTAGAAAGAAAGTGATTTTATTTTCCAAAACTAGTAAAGGGGACAGGCACAGCGGCTCATGCCTGTAATCCCAATACTTTGGCAGGCTGAGGCAGGTGGATCACCTGAGGTCAGGAGTTCGAGACCAGCCTGGCCAACATGGCAAAATCCTGTCTCTACTAAAACATACAAAAGTTAGCTGGGTGTGATGGCGGGCACCTGTAGTCCCAGCTACTCAGGAGGCTGAGGCAGGGAGAATGGCTTGAACCCAGGAGGCAGAGGTTGCTGTGAGCCGAGATTGCAGCACTGCATTCCAGTGTGGGTGACAAAGCGAGACTCTGTCTCAAAACAAACGACAACAAAAACTAGTAAAGGGAACGCGGCCAGATTCCCGTCTAGAAAAACCACTTCAATTTTTGGAGCGAAGGCAGGGGTTTAAAAAGGGCAAACTGGATAAGCAAGACATTCAAGAATTGTGGTAAGTACAATGTATGTGTGTCTTGTTCTGGTGGCTCTGTTGGGTCCCAGTCCACCTGGTGCGTGAGCTGGTGTCATCTCCACAACGGCCAGGTTCTTAACTAGCCGCCTTGAAGTCATCTCTGGCATTTTGCAGCTGGGTCTCCAGGCTTGGTCTGTCTCAAAATTAGTCCCTGGAACTTCTAAGCAGCACAATAATTGGATACTAGTGAACAGATAAATGTGAAGGGATTATATACCGTGAGAAAGGGAGGGACGTGGAGTCTATTTTAAGGGTAAAGGAAAAGGTTTCTGCAGTTTGCTTCAAGGTTGTATTTTAAAATTCAGAACAAAGAAAAATAAATTTTTTAAATACATTTTGAAGTTAAATTGCCTGGTGACATATATGTCCATACAGGTATGAGTGCCTCGAAAAGGAGAGATATCAAAACATTATCAGTGGGTATCTCTACCTGATTTTTCTCCTTCCTTCATTCTCTCTCTCTTTCTCTTCCTCCTTCCCTCCCTCCCTCCCTCCCTTCCTTCCTTCTCCTTTTCTTCCTTCGGGGTCTTGCTCTGTCACCCAGGCTGGAGTGCAGTAGCTCAGTCATGGCTCACTGCAACCTCCACCTCCTGGGTTCAAGTGATTCTCCTGCCTCAACCTCCCAAGTAGCTGGGACTACAGGCGTGCACCACTACACCCGGCTGGTTTTTTTCTTTTTTGCAGTTTTAGTAGAGACAGGGTTTCACCATGTTGGCCAGGCTGGTCTCAATCTCCTGACCTCAAATGATCCACCTGCCTCAGCCTCCCAAAGTGCTGGGATTATAGGTGTGAGCCACCGCGCCCAGCCATTTTCTTTCTACTCTATATTGAGTTACTCTTTTACAATGAGCATTTTTTTTATTATATATACACCATGAACTGATATTAAAGTCGAGCTGATTAACATATCCATCATCTCATCTTTTGTGTATGTCTGTGTGTGTCTGTGTGTGTAATTAGATCCCTCAGACTTACTCATATGTAACTGTAATAAACTTTTTTTTTTTTGAAGCAGGGGCTCTCTCTGTCACCTAGGCTGAAGTGCAGCCTGAACTTCCTGGGCTCAGGTGATCCTCCCACCTCAGCTTCCCAAGTAGCTGGGACTACAGGAACGTGCTGCCACATCTGGCTACCTTTTCTTTTTTTGTAAAGACAAGGTCTCGCTATGTTGTCCAGGCTGTTCTTGAACTCTTGGACTTGAGTGCTCCTCCCACCTCAGCCTCCCAAAGTGCTGAGATTACAGGTATGAGCCACCTCACCCAGCCAGCATGTATCTTATATTAGGTAAAATAAAATGAGAATCAGTTGAACCTGGGAGGCAGAGGTTACAGTGAGCCAAGATTGCGCTGCTGCTCTCCAGCCCTGAAAGAAGGAAGAAAAAGAGAGGGAGGGAGGAAAGGAGGGAGGGAGAGAGAGAGGGAGGGAGGGAGGGAGGGAGGAAAGGAGGGAGGGAGAGAGGGAGGGAGGGAAGGAGAGAGGGAAGGAGGGAGAGAGGGAGGGAGGGAAGGAGGGAGGGAGAGAGAGAGGGAGGGAGGGAGGGAGGGAGAGAGAGAGGGAGGGAGGGAGGGAGGGAGAGAGGGAGGAAGGGAGGGAGGGAGGGAGGGAGGGAGGGAGTAAGGGAGGGAGGGAGGGAGGGAGGGAGGGAGGGAGGAAGGAAAGAAGGGAGGGAGGGAGGGAGGAAAAAAGGAAGGAACGAAGGAAGGAAGGAAGGAAGGAAGGAAGGAGGTAATGATTTTGGAAAAGTTCTCTTGAATGTTTTGCACATTTAAAAATATAAACTTGTGCCCTTGCTTTTCATTCCTCAAGAAAGACTAGCATTTGAGAGACCTGGAGAAAATAAACACAACTGAGAAAGGTTAGGAGGGGAGGAGAGGCTCTGGAATGGGCCCAGTCATTTTCTTTCTACTCTATATTGAGTTACTCTACAATGAGCATCTTTTATTACATATACACTGTGAACTGATATTAAAGTCAAGCTGATTAACATATCCATTATCTCATCTTTTGTGTACGTCTCTGTGTGTGTGTGTGTGTGTGTGTGTAATTCAATCCCAAAAAAGGCAGGAATTTTGGTCTGTTTTCCTGGTTGCTGTAGCCTCA